CCAATTGATGCTTCTGGGGATCACATAATTTCAGTTGGATTACTGTGAACAATTTATATTTAAGTCAGGGCTTTTACAGGCTGAGTAGAGGCCAATTGGAAAGTCCACCAATACTTGCAATTAACCAGCCATTGAATGGCTCCGTCTCTCCCTTGATTGTTGCCCTGCATCATGGCAGATATTGATCGTTTGGCACTGCCAGCGGTGGGAGCTCTAGATATATAATTCTTCTGGCCGTTGCTTCAAAGCTGACAATGACCCCCCCATCCGAGTCCATTAAAATTTAACACTTGTTTCCGCCGATGTTCAGATCAACTCAGTGGCCTCTTGGATTTTTCTGTATGTTTACTTACTTTCCCTTTGCCTGTATATGCCGGTTGGTTTTGGAACGGTGTATAATTGACAAACCCAAGTTAGTGGGCTCTGCCGCAAAGCGCGCTATAATTGTTATCGGTAGCTCATTATCTCTTTGACTGATGCCATCCCAGCCGCACCACTCATCGAATGACTCTCCAGACACCGAAGCGAGGAGGAGGAGGAGCGAGGTCACGGTGCGGGAGCGAAGCGACCGTACCGAGCGACGACGACGACGAGCTGGTAGAGAGTGCTGGGCGACAGAGGTGTGTTGGGAAACCACGACGTTAGGGTCAACGTTTCGTCTGAAAGACTCATCAGGTGGCATCTGATCCCATATAGATCACCAGGTGTTTGCCAAACATTGCAAACACGCCGGAACGGGATCCGCGGAACCTTTTTCAAAGCTCAACGCTTCCTCCGGACCGTCTCGGCTCACCAACTAAATCTACACCCCGCGTGCCCAGCGCGTGCAGAATGTTTTTGCGAAGTAGTTGGAATTGATTACATGCTTCAACAAAGAGGATCCAAGTGTGAGGGGAGAAGGTGCCTGGGGCCTAGTTGAGAACGAAGCTGGGGATCAAGGTCCCCAGCGACCACTATATATATACAGGAGTGATGTAAGCAGTGATGACTACGTAGGAACCCGTAGGGCCGAACACGGGCCAGTGACATAAGCGTGCTGATGGCCATGTTCCCCTTACATCACCCCCCTTTCAAGACTCGTCGCCTCGACGAGCCCAAGGCGTACCCCGGTAGGATGAGCGAATCTTCAGTATTCTGGATCACCAGGAAAATAGATGTTGTCGCCAACGGTCCGGACCAAATGAGGTGCGGGGGCGCCCCCTCGCCGTGCTGTCTGCCTGCGCCTCCCGCCCGTGGTGACTGCGTCGATGGCCATCGGAGACCCATAGGCAGCAGTGGACGACGGAGCGGGGGAGGGCAGAGCAGTGGGCATCGCCACCGAGGGGACAAAGGGGGTAGAGGGGGCGTGGGGAAAGATAGGTGGGGGAGGTGCCATGCCCGGCATAGGAATAGGGAAGGGGGCGGCAGCTGGAGCACGGGGTAGGGGATACGCGGCGGCAGAGGAAGACTGCTTGGGTGCAAACTTCACCTGCTTTCCGGTCTGGGAGGGGCGGTCGCGGTGGAACGGAGCACCTGTGCCAAGACCAGGAGGAGGGAAGACCGGGGCCCGATTCCCAGCCGCAGCCGTGTCGTTTTGGTGCGAACCTGCAGCGACATCGGCCTGAACGGGGGGAAGTACGGGGGGAGGGCGAGCAGGAGGGGGTGCAGAAGCCCCGTCAGAAGGGTGTGACGGACCCTTCTTCTTGGCGCGAACACGCTTTCGCATGAGGCGCTTGCCAAGCGCAATAAGCGCTTCACCAACTTGCTGGTCGGTGCCGCGGATAGAGACACGGCGCTCGGAAGGGAGAGCCTTGTCGGCGTAGGCCCTGAGCTGAGCGCCGGAGACGTCGTGGGCCTGGTGAAGACCCTTACCTCCGCGACCAACGATATGCCCGACGACCGAGTCGGGCACCACCAGCGTGCAAGAGTATCGGTCAGGGGAGTCACCTGCCGTAGGGTGAGTCTCAGCTAGTGGTATAGTGGTGTGGCCGACAGCAATGGAGAAAGGGGTAGGGGCCGGGGTTGGCGCGTTGGAAGTCCAAGAGGTACCGGTCCACGCGGGGCGCCAATGGTGCCCGCGCGGCGTAGAGGCAGCGGTCTGACCAAACTCGAGATGGTCGAGGCGATCGTGAAGCCGGGCGAGCTCGCTCTGCAGCATCTGGCAGTAGGAGTAGAGGTTCTGGGGCTCCGAGGGGGTTGCCATAGCGTACAGAGACAAGATGGAACGTCGTGGGTAGAATGAGGCAAAAATAGGTGATAGGGTGGTCGACTGGGGCTAGGAGGGTGCCAGAGCCGAGAATAGCTTCGTTCTGCTGTGAGGGGAGAAGGTGCCTGGGGCCTAGTTGAGAACGAAGCTGGGGATCAAGGTCCCCAGCGACCACTATATATATACAGGAGTGATGTAAGCAGTGATGACTACGTAGGAACCCGTAGGGCCGAACACGGGCCAGTGACATAAGCGTGCTGATGGCCATGTTCCCCTTACACCAAGAGTGCAGCAATTTTGAGGCCCGGTCAAGGGTCAGGAAAATAATTTGAAGCACTATGGTCAACCCGAGTAGCCCGGTCAAGGGTACAGAATAAAGGTATGATCCATGATCTTCTACTATCTTGCCCGGAACTCGTTAGAGCTCAACGGGTTCGAATGGTTTAGGCGTATAAATTTTATTGCTAAAAGAAGAACAGGATTTAAAACTCAAAATATTTTCGAAATCCGAAGGCACGCGCCGCGCGCGACCCTTTGACTGATGCCATCCCAGCCGCACCACTCATCGAATGATTCTCAGACACCTTCTCTACTCTGTGCTTATATATCCTTCCAGGGGTGACGGGCTGCTTCGGGTGGGGTGCTGTGTGCGTATCTCCGCCGATGATATTGTTTTCCTCTCTGTTTGCTGAAACATTTCGTACTTATTAAGGCTGGATCTCCAACGCCAGAAGCCAGGTGTCCACGCCCCCGCGGGCGCACAGATACACATCGGAGTCCTCTGCCTCATACTCGCAATTTGGCTTATCGAGAGTGAGTGAAATCCAGTCGCACTACATACGACTTGGTTCAATTAATCTAAACTACTCACATATTAACACGCCCCCATTGTTAGCTGTTGGAATCGTACTCGGAGACCCCCACTTCTCATCGAGCCCATTCTGGACCTTCGTCTCCTCGTGCGCCAAGACACATTTCATGAGCAGCGGCAAATGCGCAGGGATGGGGATCACCCTGCTCCTCCCAGTCGTGAACCTCCTCCTCAGTGAGTCCCGCATGCGCAGTATCCTTCCGATAACTACATCGCCTTTTTTTTAGTCCTGGGAACGGCGTGGACGATCTATCGCCAGGCGCGCGCAGAACACCCCGGCTACCGCGAAGTCGAACGTCCACCGCCCCCGCCGCCCGAGGTGGTCGCCGCGTGGACTGTCGCACGCGTTGAAGACCTCCGGATCGGTCGCTGTCGGCCGCACAGCACCAACAAGGACATCGAGGACGCTGCGAATTGAATCCGATGTTTTTTTTAAGGGGGGGCAGTTGAAAGGCTGAGGCATGTAATTGTCAATGTGTTGATTCTTCGACTTGAAGGAATGAAAGCTTGCATTCCCATCTACATTCTTGTTGATATTAGTACTTGGTCATTTGAACGAAATGGGCAGAGAGCTGAAATGCTACCACAGATGCTTCTAGTTCTTCTTCCTTCCTCCTCGTCGTCGTTCTTTTTCTGCTCATTCTCATTCTCAACACCCACATGCCAGAGTCAGACGAGGGTAAGGAGTAAGCATGCGCAACTCCCTCCCCGTATGTATAGTAGGACAGAGTCGTGTGGGAGAGTCGGTGGTTCGAATCCACCTGAAGACGTACTTCTTCGGGTTATCTGTCTTTTTTTCCTTTGGTTTGCCCGACGTATATATGCCAGTGGTCCTGGGAAATTTACAGTGAGTAAGCTTCCGGTGCCAGGAGTGCATGCTGAACTTAGACTCGCTTGTAGTCCATGTCGACTCACCGCGCATTGATCGGTTTTTTTCTCCCGCAGCTGTTTCAAATCTATCCTGATTCCTAATGTATCCATCCGCGCGTATCTAGGCATCAACTTTCGTATAGTGCGAAACTCGCTTCCTACGTATTATGCCACAGTTTGTGTAAATGCGAGACTTGCTACTTGGTGGTTCGATCCCACCCGAAGGCTTGTGCTATTTCCGATGTTATGTCTTTTATTTTGGGCATGAAACGACTCTTGACCGAAGCCACGTACTTTCTTGGCCTTTTTCCTCTTCCACGTCTACTCAAATTATTTCGGTCTGAAATGAATTTGGTCAGCCGTAGATTTGTTCTTCTATCAATAAGTAGCTTTGGTCTCTTGGTTGCCTCTGGTGCCGCGGTTTTATCTCCCATATGTATCCAGGCTAGGAAAACAAGGTGAGAAAGTCTTCGTGGAGTACGAAACTCGCTCCCTCCGTTTGCCATCTTCTTTCTCACCACTAGGCATGAGCGGGACAGTCGGTGGTTCGAATCCACCAGTGACATGAATGTAATTGAATTACCCTTTTTTATTTTTATTTTTATTGTTCCAGGGCTTCCTCACATTGAATACTTAGATTCAGAATGAGCCAAATTAACTTCGGTGGTTCGGCTCACGCAACCTCCACGGGTGGAGTTCGGTTCTGTTTCGTCCTCTAGTGCCCTAATTCCATCTGACGTCGGTTAGGGTAAGAGGAGTCTACGTGGAGTAATGAACTCGCTCTTGTTGCCTTCCATGTGTTCTTGACGGATTTCGGAGAATCGGTGGTTCGAATCCACCCGAAGACGTGCGTGCATCATCTTCATGTCGCTTTTTACCTCGTCCCGGGCCTGCGAGCTGATCTATTGCAGCACTGCTCTGCTCACTTGGCAGGGAAGGGAAGCGAAAGGAAATGCGCGGTGGCACAGAAGGTTGGGGTCCAAACTCATGACAAACTCTCCTAAATAGACTCCGAAGTTGCACACACCGCCACTTAACTCAACCTTGTGCTACTTGGGTCAAGGGGGTGACAAAGTCTTCGTGGAGTACGAAACTCGCTCCCTCTTCATGTTCCTTCAAGTTGCTGTGCAGGGAGAGACGGTGGTTCGAATCCCCCCGAAGACGTAAGTTTTCCATGGCATTCTTTTTTCGGACGTGCTCAATAATTGCTGTTTTTGTTCCCGTAAATTCAGGTGCCATGAGTGAAAGGATGGTGGAGTACAGAACTTGCCCGGTAAATAATGAATTCAACTTCAACCCAGATTATTCTCAGATTTATTCAGTGTAACAGAAAGGCAGTCCAGTCTTCTGGAGTACCATCGAAAGCGAACTCACTCCCTTCAATTATTGTTCCTTCGACTGCTTAACCGGTGGTTCGAATCCACCCGCAGACATGTAGCGGATGTTTTCTTTTTCTTAAACTCACACAATCCTCCCTGGGCGGGCCGGACTTTTTGAGCTCGTTTTCTGCCCTTGCAGGAAAGCCACAACGCACTGAAATTAGTAAGGTTCGATACGGAGTCCGACTCCCTAATTTCCTCGAACTGCACCCTCATTCATTTAGTGAGAGGAAAAAGCAGGCAAGTCTCCGTAGAGTATGAAACTCCCTCCTGATTCATAGTTCTCAGATAACTTGTGGTAAGGAAGAGTTGGTGGTCCCGCAGACTTGACAGAGATGACCGGAAAGTTGTCACAACTTTTTTTTCTCCTTCGTGTTGTTGAATCAGCTGAACTGAACCTGTATATGAGGTGACGTCGAGCCAGGGGCGCTAATTAGCTAGCGTTGAACGAGAAACGCAACCACCGCGAGAACTTTGTAAGGGTTCCTCGGAACGCTCCGATCGGCCATCACGGCACGGCATCACTGCCGCTGACGCAGGGTTGCTGACCCAACACCCACGCCCTCTTCCCTCCCCATCGCCGTCGCTCCGACTTGCTCTCTCGTCGTCCGGAATGTCCCGGTCGTCGTCGTCGCCGTCGAGCTCGCCTGGCTGTGGCTCTATCGGCAATCTCCCCCATTCCTTTCCATTCTTTCTTTTCCGGAGCTGACGACGACGACTGGATGGCAGGCCTGGCACGTATTCGGGCTCGGGCCCCAGTGCTCCTAGTACTTATCAGAACGTATACGTGTTTCGCTTCCTTTCTTCTTTGTTTCCTGATATGATTTGTATCCATCTTGTATTGATGTGATCGTCGACGCCGAAGATGCGCCCTGCACCCGCACGCACGCCCGAGTGGGCACGGGCCTGTGAGACGTCGGCCGAATTAATTCTTTGCTCTCCTACTTCGTCAATTCCTCGTTGCTACAATGCCGGCTCGCGACTCGCGACTCCCGGTTTCGACTCCCGACCCAAATTTCGTACGTGCTTCTACAACAAGTCGGAAGTACGGAAACGGAAGGAATACTAGCACCACTGCGCAGAACGCCTGTGCCGCTCGCGCTCATCTCCTTGTCGCCCTCTAGACTCCGAGGACGACGCAGATCCCGAGTCCAGCGCCAATGCCCCGCCCGTCCCCGCGTTACTGCACGACAACATCAACAACTTCATCAGCACCAATATCGTCTCGTTCCTGGATCCGCACCCGCAATATCACCGCACACCAGCCGCAGCCTCAGCCGAGGCGTCGACGCTGAAGATAACGCCCCGCACCCGCACCTGCACCCGGCGCTGGCGTGGGCTCGGGGCGGGCGTGCGCGTGCGCGGGTGAGTGGGCTCTGAGGCAGCAATGGGCGCGGGCGTGTGAGATCTCGGGCAATTCATTAGTTCCTCGTTCCTCATTCCTACTTACTTCCTTATGACTTCGCTAATGCCCATTCCTGGGTCTGAATCCTACAACGCCGACTCCGAGAGGCAAATATATCTCAGGAAATTCCATACAACCCGATCATTTCCCTAATGCACTATGTGTCCCCGTTTCCAGCGCATCTTCCCGAACTCACGTCTCCGCCTAATCAAGGTCGTTCGGAATGATGTAGACCGTGATAGCCTCATTGCCATCCGACGCGGCAGCCACTTCCGCCTCCATATTTGCACCGAGAACAAAGGGCGGCGTCCATGGCACGCTCGTCGCGTTCGACCAGCTCGTACCCACCGGCTCGTGGAGGGTAGAGTTTCCGGCGCGCCAGAAGGCCGGGCCCACGCCGTCCCAGTAGAATGCGTAACCAGCGTAGTTTTGCGAAAAGCCGAGCAGGAAGTTGGTCGTGCCTTCGCTCGTTGTGGGAATCATTCCGAAGACGCTCCGGCTGGTGGTAAGCGAATCGTAGGAAAGGTGGTGCAGGTTACCCGGACCGCAGACGGTGACGATGGGTGCGATGCCGTCTGTATAAAGCATGGCCATGGCTGGGTCGAGAGTTTTCAACTGGTATGATTTATTTGAGCCTAGTTTGACAAACCGCGATTTTAAGCGAAGGATGAATTGGTTGACCCGGGGACGTACCAGGTTTTGTGCGATGTCTTGGAGAGGTGGGGATTCTCTCCGTTTGTGTCCTTCTTATAACTTCCCGGACGTCAAATTGCAAAGTGATTCATCAGGTTGAATAGTTGATGGAAGTTGCGGTCATTCGTCTTGCCACAACATTGAGCGCCAACCATCCAATTGAGCGCCAACTATCTGGCAAGAATTCCAACTGTCATGTTCAAGCCTGCGTTTCAAATGATGCGGGCGTCGTATTCATTTCACGTATGTATATCGCCGGTGTCGGGAATCTGACATTCAATTCTTGGATTCCTTGTGTCCAACGCCAATGGTATTCGACTGCTTGCTTTTCAAAAATGAGATGAATTTACATCCCAAGGGCTGGAAGATAGGTGCAATGTTGCTGGCGACTTTCTAAGAATGGTATTTATCATTTATCAGATGGGCACTTGTTTATTGACGATGCACTTACCTATACTCATACTCACAGACTGTTCAAGCGAGCACGGGATGATCCTATTTTTAGGTTGCAATACAGCCTGCCCACCGCTGGAAGTCAGAGGATATTTGGGGCTGGAACAGACCAGAACAGCCACAAAAATAACCCCCCCCCGGAATATCACCAGGTGCTTATCAAGGATACGCATGCCCGACTGCCGACACGGGTATGGTGACTTTAAAATGTTGCGACTTACTACTGCTGTCATGATTGGTGCCGGCGAGACTAGTCCTCAGCTGCAGTGACGGCGACCAGGGATGAAATGGAATTCCGCAAAATAGATGCTGCCTGCTGTACAACAGAAGCGATGGAATGAGCCGTACTACAATACCCACCGTCGTGTCCGCAGGACTTGACGTATTATAGATGAGAATCATAACAGCGTCTACGGGCAGATTCAAACACTGCTGGGCTTAGGGGAAATTTCGCATACTTGCTAATTGTTTCCCTGGCTGTTCGTGGTCTTTGCCGACGCTATCTAATGTTCCTCGGTTTTGATTGTGGCAGGGAGAGGATTGCTATTATCCGGGCGCTACTCTCTGGTAATTTCCCGGGCGTCAAAAGTAATTCAACAGGTTGAATGGCTGATGAAAGTCGCGTCTATTCGTCTTGTCATGATTGAGCGTCAACCATCAAAGAATTCTAACTGTCGTGTTCGAGCCTGGGTTCCAAATGATATTGGGCGTCCGATTCGGATTTCACGCATGCACATAGCAATTTCATGCATGTGCCCGAAGCGTGAGGTGAAGTCGTCGTGGAGTTTGAACCCGAATGATTATTCCTATATCAGGCCTGATAACAGCTGATAAGATGGGACAGTCACTCCACTCAAAAACGTCTGACCTAAATCCCTTGATGTTCTTATTCCGTTCCCTCGTTCCCCGGCACTTGCTGAGTTATTCCTCGCTCGGTGAGATTGAAAGCAAGCTTAAGGTGGGTGAGTGCGAATTTCTCTGCGGGGGAGGAAGGTTGAACCACATACTTAGCGGATCGTCTGAAATTTGAATTGGATTCTTCTGATACTGTCGCAAAAATCCCTTTTGAGTTATAAGCAAAGATAGGGGCATTTCGGGCCTTATAGAGCCTTATAGAGTAGGCTCAACTCCTCCGGTGCGTACATCACTAATAGGGTCGTTCACAGTAGCCCTTTTTCCGCTCCTTTTTCCTTCCCTTTTTTCTTCCTTTTCGGTATTCCCATCGTTTTTCACTCGGTTTTCACTCGGTTTTTTTTTCCCTTTTCAGTTCAGCTATGTAAAAAGGTGCAAAAAGGGAAAAGAAACCATGTAGAAGTGCAAAACCCATGGAAAACGAGAGAAAAAGGAGGTGAAAAAGGGAAGAAAAAAGGGCTACTGTGAAACCCCCCACGCGAACTCCTTTTTTTCGGCCCTTTTTGTTTCCCTTTTTTGATCTTGTAGGAGAAACTACAACTCTGGGGCTCACAACTCACTTCTGAAGGTTCCTTTCAAACATGGGGGTTATATTATACCCGTGTGGCTCACAGCCTGAACTACGAGTTTACCACAAAGACAACATGTATGGTCCGAAGGGAGCGTAAATTCAAAATATGTAATTTATTTATCCATGTACTTGAACAAAGGACTGGTGAGCAAAAAAAAGATCGGAAAAAGGGAGACAAAAAGAGCGGGAAAAAGGTAACTGTGAACGACCCTAATCTTGGATATGCAATACAATCTGAGAGATGTCGTTTTGGATTATAAGCAAAGATAGGGCCTTATGAAGGGCTATAAGTACCTATAAGCATGGCTGCTTCCCCATAAGGCTCGAAATGCCCCTATCTTGGCTTATAACTGCTTATAACTCAAACGCGATTTTTGCGACAACTGAGTGATATGTATTCAGGTAATTAGTAAATATCATACCTTTTACAGTGCCAACCAGACTCAAATCTTAGATTCACATGTGCTGGGAATCTCCATAGTTCAGTGCGCACTGGCGCGATCCACTTCATGCTTCAGCTCCTCCCAGACCTGATTTATTCTGTCGCAAATGCTCATGCCAACATCAAGACAGGGAAGTCTTCGTATAACATTGAACTCAGTCACCCCTCTATGCGTTTGGACTGCTTGATCCAAACGGAGAGACTCGGTGGTTCCCTCTCACCCACATTCAAATACTTAGCCACACTGCTTTCTTGGCACATAGACAGCAGGACCACAAAGTCTTCGTTGAGTACCGAAACTCGCTCCCT